AGCCCAGGCTGGCCTCGAACTCACAGAGATCTGCCTGCCTCTGCCTCCCGAGTGCTGGGATTAAAGGCGTGCGCCACCACCGCCCGGCCGAAATAGACTTTAAAAAAAAAAAAGGTTTGTTTATTTGTTTGTTTGTTTATTTATTATACAGTGTTCTGTCTGCACGCCAGAAGAGGGCACCAGATCTCATTACAGATGGTTGTGAGCCACCATGTGATTGCTGGGAATTGAACTCGGGACCTCTGGAAGAGCAGTCAGTGCTCTTAACAGCTGTGCCATCTTTCCAGCCCCTAGAAATAGACTTTTAAAACATTAATAGAATTGTCTTTTTGTATATGGGAGCAAATAGTTGAAGCAAACAGGTGAATGAGCCAAGTGATTATTTTGGGGGAGAATGTTCTTGATCTGAGCTTATCAAACTTAATATTCAAGATGAGGATATAGCTCAGTGGTAGAGAATTTTTGTAGCATGAGGGGTGCTCTGGATTCAATCTCAAACACCAGGCCCACCTCCAAAAACAAAAAACAAAACAGAGCTTTACTCTAGATATACAGGTAGCTTACACCTGTAATATCAACATTTGGGAAGATGAGGTAGGAGGATTGTTGTTGAGTTCTATGCCAGCCTAGACAACAGAGTAAGACTCTCCTTTACAATAACAATCATATTGTCCCCTCCTCCCAAAGCCACTAACAAACAAAAGTTAAATTTCAGTATGCATGCAAGTCTCCTGGGAATCATTAGAATGGAGTTTTTTAGGCTCATTCTCAGAGTTTTGATTTAGAATATGTAGGGAGTGGCCTAAGATACTGAACTTCTAACAGGTTTCTGGATGCTGCTGCTGGCATGGGGTTTGGGGTGGGGATGGGGGTGGGTGGGTGGTTAGGACCAATCTTTTGACTATCATACTTGAAGTCAATCATTTAAAGAAAAATGCACATCCATATCACCTTTCATTGTGTTTGCAGTGTAATGACTAGGAGTCAGACAATGTCATTCACATGTTTTAGTGGTTAACCACACATTACAGTAAAAACTAGTGTTAGAGTAAGTGGTAGGGTGCTATATGATATGACACTCCTACTTCTGCCCTCATTCATTTTCTTGTTAACTTTTCTCTCTCTCTCTGTTCTAGTTATGTAGTTTTCTTGCCTTTTCTCTAAAGGCAAAGGGCCACCTAAGGAAGGACCTTTGCATTTGCTTTTCCCTCTATGAATACTTGTTCCCTAGATAACCATATAGCTGGCTCTTCTAACCTTTTTTTTTCCAAAAACTCATTCTTTTTTTTTTTTTTTTTTTTTAAAGATTTATTTATTATGTATACAGTGCAGAACACCAGGAGAGGGCACAAGATCTCATTACAGATGGTTGTGAGCCACCATGTGATTGCTGGGGATTGAACTCAGGACCTCTGGAAGAGCAACCAGTGATTTTAACCTCTGAGCCATCTTGCCAGCCCCCCTGTTTTTTATTTAAATTTATTATAGTATATGTATGATATGTGTATATATGTGGAGGTGTATCACATGGTATGTATGTAGCAATCAGAGGACAACTTTATGGATTCCCTCTTTCTAACTTTAGGTGGGTTTTGAGGATGGAACTCATGTTGCTAGGCATGCATGGCAAGTACTTGATCCTCACTGATCCTTCCTTTTCTTTCTTCTTCTTTTTTTTTCCAAGACAGGTTTTCTCTGTATAACAGCCCTGGCTGTCCTGGAACTCGCTTTATAGACCAGGCTGGCCTTGAACTCACAGAGAGTGCTAGGATTAAAGGCATATATCACCACAAGACCAGAAGTTACCCTTTTTAGTATATTTAGAGTCACACAGATATCACCATTATTTAATTCCTTCTTTTCTTTTTTCTTTTTTTTGGTGGGTGGTGTTTTTTTGAAACAGAGTTTCTCTGTGTATCTCTGGCTGTCCTGAAACTCACTCTGTAGACTAGGCTGGCCTCAAACTCACAGAGATTTGCTTACCTCTGCCTGCCTCCCAAGTGCTGGTATTAAAGACTTACACCACCTTATTTTCAATCATGCCTCCAGGAAACACTGTATATATTGGTATTCATTGTTTATTACCATCTTCTATTCACTGCCAACTATTAATCATATAAACATTCATATACAAGACTTTATATGGATAGGCATTTTCTATACTTCTTGTTTATAAGTGTAGTCACATTTATCAAATTCTTGCAATCTGTGGGGCAGTTTGCCTAGTATTTATTTTAATGTCGATTCTAGAAAATGAAATTATTTATTTATTTAGTGTATGGATGTGTGCCTGCTTGAGTTTTTGTGCACCATGTGCCTGAAGTACCTGTGGAGTTCAGAGGGTATCAGATCCCTTGGAAATTGAGTAAGCTGGTATGGGTGCTGGTAACCAAACCTGAGTTTTCTGCAAGAGCTGTTAAGTGCTCTTAACCATCGAGCCATTTTTCCACCCCTATTTTATGTTTAGTTTTATATATGTCTGTGTGCATATGAGTGTGGGTACCTAAGGAAGTCAGAGGCCTTTGATCTCTTTAAACTGGCATTATAGGTGGTTGTGAGTTGCCCAGTGTGGGTATTGGGAATTAAAACCTGGTCCTCTGGAAGAGCAGTACATGCCCTGTTTTTGACTTAGGGTCTCACTACGTAGCCTTGGCTCTCTTGGAATTTGCTATGTAGACCTACCTAGCTGTCCTTGAACTTGTAGAGATCCACCTGTTTCTTCCTCTTGAACTCTGTTATTAAATGTGTGCTCCACCAGGCCCTGTCCTATTTCCTTCTTTTAAAAAGTGCTATATAGCCAGGAATTGTGGCAATGCCTTTCTTTGCAGCACTTGAGAGGCAGAGGTAGGTGAATCTCTCAGTTTGAGGCCAGCCTGATCTACAGAGGAGTTCCAGGATAGCTAGGGCTACACAAAGAAACCCTGTCTAGGTTAAAAAAAAAAAAAAAAAAAAGTACTATGTAGTCTTTTTCAATTATTGTGATAGAAATGATAATTTTATGGGATTTGCTATTGTTAGTTGATAGTCATGTAGGGGAAGTTATACATTTTTTTTAAAAAGGGGTTGTGTTGTTACATTGTCTTGTTCCTGATCTTTTTCATGAACTATAGAAATAAACTAGATTTTGTTTTTCATAGTTCCATAATAAAAGTCACTAAAAATTTCCCAAATATTAAGAGATAATTCCACATACCACATAGTGCATCAGTGTTTGCCTGCCACTTAGCTCTAACTATGCAAGTGCTGATGTTGTACTCAGAGGGCAGAAGCAGGTGGGTCTCTGCATTCAAGCAGCCTGGGGCTAAATAGTGTGAGCTTTCCTTATTCTCTTTTAAAATAAAAATAGTTTTATATGTGTGGGTGTTTTGTCTGCGTGTATGGCTGTGCATCACATGTGTGCCTGGTGCCTGTGGAGGCTGGAAAAAAGGGTGTCAGATCCTTAGGAACTGGAATTACAGGCAGTGTGAGCTGCCATGTGGGTGCTGGAAATTGATCCTGAGACCTCTAGAAGAACAGCCAGTTTTTTTTTTTTTTTTTTTTTTAACTGATAAGCCCTCTCTTTAGTCCCAAGAGACCCTGTCTCAAAAAACCAAAAAAAAAAAAAAAAAAAATTTATTGAGCCTGGTAGTGGCTCAACCAAGCAGATCTCTGAGTTTGAGGCCAGCTAGGTCTACAAAATGAGTTCCAGGACAAGGGGCTAGGTAGAGACATTGTCTCAAAAACAAACAAATACATAAATAAACAAACAGATTTATTGTAATTTTATGTGTATGTATCTTTTGCCTGTGTGCATGTCTGTGCACCATGTATGTGCATTGCCCCCAAAGACCAGCATCCTCTGCAGCTAAAGTTGCAGACTTTTATTTGCCATGTGGGTGCTTGGGAACTAAACCTGAGTCTACAAGAGTAACAATTCCTCTTAACCACTGAGCTCTCTCCACGCCCCTTCTTATAACATTCTTATTTAAGAGTTTGCTTTTTATTCTAGACAGTCCTATGCCCTTTGGTAGGAAATGTACCACTTCTAAATACAATTTCTTCTTTGTTTAGAAAATTAGAGCTTTAATATTTTAAAACACACATGCATGCATGCAAGCTCTCTCTGTCCCTACCTCCCTGAAAATCAACTAACCAAAGGTGGGATTGACTGTCAGGACTTCTCTATAAATTAAGTAGTTGACTTTCGAATATGATTGAGGTATTTTACTGATTGACCATGCACTGTTTAAAATTTTAAAAAATTATTTTGTGTTTATGTGTGTTTGCCTGCGTGTACGTCTGTGTATCTTTTTTTATTTTTTATTTTTGTTTATTTATTTATTTGCCTGATGTGGATGGAGGCGAGAAGGCATTAGATCCCCTTGGGACAGGAGTTACAGATAGTTGTAAACTGTCATGTAGGTGTTGATGCTTTTTCTTTTTCTTTTTCCTTTGTGACAGAGTCTTTATCTGTAGCCCTGTCTATACAGACTCACTGTGTAGACCAAGTTGGCCTTGAACTCAGCTCTACCTGTCTCTGCCTACCTATTGCTGAGATTGAAGAGGTATACCATCATGCCCACCTACCACCAATGCACTTAATTGCTAAGCCATCTGTCTCTTCAGTCCCTTAGCACTGCTTTCTAAAAAATGTTACATTTATTCATTTATTGTATGTTTGGGTGTGCACATGGCATTTGTGGAGACCAGAGGACAATTTGTGGGAGTATATTTTCTTTTGCCATATGAATCCTGGGGATTGAACTCAGGTCATCAGGCTTAGTGTCAATTATCCTTACTCGCTAAGTTATCTCATGAGCTCACCATGCATATATCTTATATATATATTTTAACATACTCTAATAACTTGTACAACCAAGTTAATATAAGGAAAGAATTCCCCCATAGTTAAATGTTTTTTAAATTTAAAATTTTTAGTGATAATAACTGATATTTGTTCTTGTTTTGTTTTTTGAGACAAGATTTCTCTGTGTAGCCCTGGCTGTCCTGGAACTCACTCTGTAGACCAGGCTGGCTTTGAACTCAGAGATCTGCCTGTCTCTGCCTCCTGAGTGCTGGGATTAAAGGTATGCTCCACCACTGCCAACATGATGATAACTGATTTAATGATTGCTTCTTTTGTAGGTAAAATGAAGAGTGAAGAATCTAATAAAGAAAATTCTTCTGAGATGGACTATTTAGAAAATGCCACTGTGATAGATGAATCCACATTGACACCTGAGCAGAGGCTAGGCTTGAAACAAGCAGAAGAACGCCTAGAAAGAGATCACATCTTTCGACTTGAAAAAGTATGCTACGTTATGTTAGTTATCGAGGGAGGAGTTGTATGCTTTATAACTTTTTCCAGAGTGTAACAGTTCATGTTTCTTTTGGAGACAGGTATTACTATGTAGTCTTAGCTGGCCTGGAACTTACTATGTAGACCAGGCAGGCCATATGAGATCTACCCACCTCTGCCTTCTTAGTGCTAAGATGAAAAGCATGCCACCACACCTGATATAAGTTGACTTTTAGTTATTGTAGGCATTAGCAACCTATGACCGGCCCCCTTCTGTAGTTGGAGTTTTCTCCAGTCCCGCTCAGACCCTCAGCCACTCAGACCCAAATAAACACACAGATGCTTATATTATTTAAACTGTTTGGCCTAGTGGCTCAGGCTTCTTGCTATTTAGTTCTTATTTCTTAAATTAACCCATTCCTATTAATCTATAAGTTGCCACGTGGCTTGTGGCTTCCTGGTATCTTACATCTCACTTGTCATGGTGGTGGATTTTGTCAGCGTCTCCTAACTCAGCCTTCTACCTCCCAGAATTCTCTCTCCTTATCCTGCCTACACTGTACTTCCTGCCTGGTTACTGGCCAATCAGCATTTTATTTATCAACCAAATCAGAGCAACACACATTTACAGCATACAGAAAGGCAATTCCAGCACTTCCCCTTTTCATTTTTTCAAAAAGGTTTTGACTTTAACATAGTAAAATTACATATAACAGAACAATTATCAAGCAAGAATTATAGTTACAATATCTAGTTTATTTATACTATCTAATCTATTTGTATTTGGCAAAATTAAGAGATAATTCTATCCTATATTTGTGAGTCTAAGGTTTTATATCTAACTTATTTTTTTATCATAGCTAAAATTATTATAACTATCTAGTTTTCAACTACATCAAAGACCTCAGAAGGATATAATATTACCTGAGAAACAGGAGAAGGACATAAGCAACTTTTGGGAGTCTTGCAAGAGTAGACAGAGATAGCTGGCAGCCTGGACAGTCATCCAAGGTTCCTCTATAAAGTTGGGGATCTGTCTTCAGCCCACAGGCCTAGAGTCTCTCAGTAACTTCTCTCTGTGTCCTGTGAAATGTCTGGCAGTTTCCTCTGTGAAGCAGAAACCTGAAGGACCATTTTGCCAAGCAAAGTTCACTGGTCACCTTCCTATGGGTCCTGCATGTCCAGTCGATGCAATCAGTCCAGGCAAGAACAGTTTCTTGCCCAAATGGCTATTTTATGCCAAGAAGAAGATAAACTCCATATGGAGTATCTTCACTGCCCATCCTCCTCTCTGAAGTAAATCGGTACTGCCAGGAGCACCCTTCCCCTTGTTTTGTTTGAATATGGCAAAATACATATAACCTCCCCCTTTTTTATAAACAGTTACTAGGATACAGCTGTGCTCATTTTCTTAATATAGTCTATGGCTTCTTCCATGCTGTGATGACAGAGTTGACTAGATACCAGAGAGATGACATGGCCTGCATAAAATATTTCTATTTTCTTTCCTTTCCCCTTCCCTTGCCTTTTATTTTTCCTTGCTTATTTCTACACATGTTCCATCTACTAACATTTTATATCATTGATTTCATTTCTCTCTTGGTGACCTCATCAGTAGTGTTCATGGTTTTATTAGATATTAGCTATATATATTTTCAGTTCCTAAATCCAACTTTTACTACCCTGCCACTTTTGTTACCTCTTTTCTCTATTATTGCAATATGGTAATGATTATGAATGAGTCTTTTCTCTCTTATGCTTAGAAAACAAATGATTCTTTTAAAATGCAGATTAAATCTGTATATGATGGTGAATGCCTTTAATTTTTTTTTTTTTTCATTATGGTTTGTGTACATGAGTACAGTACATGTGGGAGGCCAGTAGAGGGAATTGGAGTCCCTGGAGCTGGAGTTACAGGTACTTGTGAGCCATCTGTCTTAGATGCTAGGAACCCATCCCAGGTCCTCTGAAAGAGCAGCTGGCACTCTTAATTACTGAGCCGCTTTCCCAGCCCTGTGTGGTGGTTCATGCCTTTAATCCCATCTCTCAGGAGTTGAAAGTAGGAAAGTCAGGAGTTTATGATCATCCACAGCTACATAATAAGTTGGAGGACAACCTGAGGCACCTGCGACTTTGTATTAAAAAAAAAAAAAGCCACCATACTTTTAATCCAAGGAGGCAGGTACAGGAGGATCTCTGAGTTCAAAGCCAGCCTGTTCTGTATAGTGAGTTCTAGACCAGCCAGGACACACAGTGAAACCCTGTCTCAACAAGAACAAAAATATTAGGTGGGAGGTGGGAGCATGTTTTTTTTTGTTTTTTTTTTTTCTATTTTATTTTTGAAATGGAGTCTTATTTTTATAGCTCTGGCTGGCCTGGAACTCACCATATAGACTGTGCTGGCCTCAGATTCGTAGAGGTCTATTGCCTCAGCCTCCCATTCACTAGGATTAAAGGCTTGTGCTTCCATGCCCAATTTAACATAAATATTTTTAGTTAAGCTTTCCCTTACATGTTCTATAGGCTTTCTCTTATACTTAGAGTGAAAACAGGAATCCTTAAGACTTTGTGATCTGGCCCAGTTACTAGTCATACTAGTGTTTTTATAATGTATTAATCAAAAATTTTGTTCTCGTGACAGTACCCAAGAAAAAGGGGAAAAACATATTTTAGCTTAAAATTTCAGAGGTTACAGTTCTTTATCACAGAGAGGATGTGGTGAAGGAGAGCAGCTCACATTGTAGAAGCCCCCACTCCTCAACCCATTCAGTTTACTTCATCTTTTGGGTGCTTCCCAATAAGTCAAGTTGACAACATTAACAGTCACAAGTTTACTCCTTATGACTTGACATTGAAATATGTCTTGAACTGTACTATGTAGTTTCATAAATATTTTAGTTATATTCTTGGTTCAGGACCTTAGTTTCTTTCTTTGCATGAAGTCTAGTACATGGCTCAGATATCTTAGAAGAGCCAATCCTATACTGCCTTTCAGTCGCTGTATAAAAAGGACTTTAAGTAGTGACCATGTTTTAAAAATAACTCCTCTCTCATCTATATTCCTATTTATTTATATCTTACCTTTATTATTAATCTTCATGTACTAGAATGTAAATTCTTATTGACAGGAATTTGTCTTGTTCACTGTTCAACTCCATGAAAAATGTTTCACATACAAGAATTTAAAAAATGCTCAGTAAAGGAATAGTTGTAGTTGGAAATGTAAGAAAAAATTTTAATGGCTTAACTGATCTCAAAGAATTTTCATGTGATCAAAATTAGAATAACTAGATTGTGTGTCATGTATATGCTGTTGCTTCTAGGAAATTATTTAATACTTGAGATTTAAATCCTTTATCAGTAAAATAGAGAACCCTGACAGTTAAAAGTTAGTAAATAGTACTTTGTAAATGTTGAGTTTGTTTTCTGTAATCTGTGGTAGGACTGTTGTTAAATTTGATGCAAGTTTCTTATTTAAAGAACATCATTTATTGAGTTTAGAGAGATGGCTCAGTGTTTAAGAACACTTGCTATCCTTACAAAGGACCTGAGTTTGGTTCCTAGCACCTACATTGTGGCTCACAACTTCCTTTAGCTCTAGTTCTAGAGGATCTTGACCCCCTTTTCTGGGGCCACTGAACACATGAGGCACACTTAAATACTTATAAGCAAAATGCTCACACACATAAAATACAAATAAATAAAAATATTCCCAGGTGAGAGAACCCTTTTGTCAGGAGTTGCACTGAACATTGAAAATGAATCTGAAACAAAATACTAAGTATTACTGAAGTTTTAATGTAAGGCAATAGAGACAGTGCTTTGAAACCAGCATCTATTGATTCTATTGATTGTTTTTATTAATTTTTTATTGTAAAAGATTGTTGGCTTTGGATTAGATATGCATGAACTGAAATTCATTATCTCCTGCTCAGTATTATTGAAGCCCTGTGAAGTCCCAAGCTCCATGGTTTTCAAATCTATAAAATGAAAATATTAATCTTCCTGGATTATTAAGAATTAAAATGACAATTTACATATGATGCATCTAGCATAGTGTCTGGTACCTAGCGAGCACTTAGTAATTATTGTTTTATTATTTTGAGAAAACACATATGTAGCTGAAGTTTTCCTGGTTCTGCCTGGCCCATGGCCAGGACAAATCTCTCTCACCTACCAGTCCCGCAGCCAAATAAACACACAGAGATTTATATTACTTATAAACTGTATGGCCATGGCAGACTTCTTGTTATCTAGTTCTTCTATCTTAAATTAACCCATTTCTATTAATGTATACCTTGTTCAGGTACTGGTTACTTACTAAGCACATGAAAAAGTCAGCTGTCTCTTGAGTGTTTAGGTACTGGTCACTTACTAAGCACATGAAAAAGTCAGCTATCTCTTGAGTTTTAGGTACTGGTCACTTACTAAGCACATGAAAAAGTCAGCTGTCTCTTGAGTTTTAGGTACTGGTTACTTACTAAACACATATTCTTCAGTGCTTGTTTCCTTTGTTGTGGTGTTGGGGTGTTTGACCTGAGCCTAGCACATGGTAGTTATATGTTCTACCACTCAGCTATGTCAGCAGCTCCTCAGGACCTATTTTGTTTGGCCTGTTACAGTTAGTCAGATTATTCACTTATATAGTCTGTCATTTATTTGTTTACTGAGAAAGTGTATTTTTAAATTTGTTTCTTCAGCGATCACCAGAATATACCAATTGCCGTTATCTATGCAAACTTTGCTTAATTCACATTGAGAACATCCAAGGAGCACATAAACATATAAAAGAAAAGCGACATAAGAAAAATATTTTGGTAAGTTATCTCTTTTAAAAATCTTGACTCTTTGAACCGTAAAAGTGTATTAGGTAATTTTTAAACTTATAAATCTAATAATGAGGCATGAAGTAACTGAAATGATAGCCTTGAAAAAATGTGATTAACTTCCTTATCTCCAGTGGTTAGAAGGAACCTTCTAGGACCAGTTTGATAATGCTAAGGAAAATTGATTCATAAAATAAAAACTGTCAGGTACAGTTTGTCCATCTTGCAGCAGCAGCAGTGAGCAGGCACGGCTCCATACTGCCACCTACAGTAGCCTGAGTCCCCTTAATCTTTTAAGGGACATCTTGCTCAGGTGAAACTGGATCCTTGGCTTCAACTCAGAAAGAAATTCCAGGACAGTCAGTGTAAAGCAGAGTTGTGATTTATTAAAAGACACTCTGTGCACGCACGTCTCTGTGTGTAGGGGGGTGAACGTGCTTGCACTTGTACCGAGGCCTTGGGAAAACTGGGTGTCTGTCATGCTTTATCAGTCTCTACCCTATTCCTTTGAGATCAAGTCTCTCACTGAAACCGGAGTTATTCCTGCAAGCCAAGAAGTCTTAGCATTCTTCCTGTCTCCATTGGTGTGCTCAACTATGCTTAGCTTTTTACATCGGTGTTGGGAGCTGAACTTTCTGAACTTAGGTCTTCATGCTTACCAAGTTTTCTTACCCACTAAGCTATCTTTCTAGCCCCCAAATGTGGTGGTATTCTAATTGTACTGAAATGTGATTTTGATTGTATGTTAATAAATAAAGTTGCCCGGGGGTCAGAGCTATTAGAGCCATAGACAGAGTGTGGCGGTGGTGGCACACGCCTTTAATCCCATAGATCTCTGTGTGTTCAGGGATACAGCCAGCATTGGAGACATATGCCTTTAAGACCTAGGGGGCTGTACATTCAGACAGTGACGAGGCAGTCACGTGTTTGGGTTTACAACCAATGAGAAGGCAGAACAAAATACTATAAATAGACGAACAGACAGGAAATAGGTCTCTTTCGGGAAGCTGGGAAGGCGGAAGGGTGAGATTTTAGCTCTGAGCTCTGACCTCTCAGCTTTCTCTTTTACATTGTTTCTGTGTTTCTTATTTAATAAGACGGTTAGTTACATCTACACCCAAAGACATTTTTATTTTGAGAATTCTTTCACGTCTACTATTATTTGTTTTGTGTACATGGGCACACATGCCATAGTAACTTGTGTACTTGCTATTTTAACGTAAAATAGCTATATATGAGAGAAATATTATCTCTGCAGTCTTCACAGCAAACATTTAATGTGCTGGAATTTTGACTTCTCACTAAGACGCTTCAACTAGACTCTGAGATGAGGTACTTTTTCCACCTCCCATATCCCCATCATTTTCCCTGTCTTTCTACCTTAACTCACATACAGGGTATTTATTGTCCGATTGCTAGAATTAGGTAGTGGTGAATAAGGTAGTCATGGTTCCTGTTCTTAGAGTTCCTAATAATTGATGAATAGGGGTTTAAGTACAATAAGTCTTATTAGAGGGAGAAATTTGCTAAGGAAATAAACAAGGATATTTTACTTGGTCTAGAACAGGGAAGTTTCTCTGGAAAGTGACCTTTGAGCTGAACTTTGAAATAGTAGTTTAAAAAGCTAAAAGTGAGTGTGGTACATTAAAACCTCATAAAGAAAGGTTTCTAGACAAGAGTGGACAAGGTGTGTAAAGACGTGAGTGAATCTAGTAAGAGGGAAGGAAAGAACTAGAAAGAAAATGGCATGACATGAAGCTGGAGAAGTACAGAACACGGAATTTCTAAGTATATTGATATAGTAACTATTTAATTTTTTCTCAAAAATTGTAATACTACTAATATATAGTCTTAAGTCTTGGCTCAGATAATGTCTCTGAGAAGAATCCTCTCACCTGATCTTCCATAGTCCTCTGGGTTGTAGTCCTTCTCTGTTTCCATAGAGGTTTTGCATGGTTTGATTGTTTAAAAAAAGTATATAAATATTCTATATACTTTGTGTATGTGTTAGGGAGTATTCTTATGACCATTTTGCTTGATGCTGTCTGTGTTGATTAGCTACGACTGATGGCTTTTCTGGTTTACCTTAGATAGCTGTCTTTGCTGCTACAGAATTGTGAGCCAACTGTTGAACCTCTGTGTTAGCTTAGATATAGATTTTCACAATTTATACCAATAGTACAGTAGAACAATTTTTAAAATGTTATGTTCTTCTTGTAAAATGGTTATCTATTTATTTAATTATAAGTGAGTAAGTGTATAATGGGTCCCTGTGGGAGCTAGCAGAGACCAGGAGAGGGCTTCAGGTCCCCTGGAGCTTGAGTTATGTAGGTAGTTGTGAGCCACTGGATGTGGGGGCTGGGAACTGAAATGGGATCCTTCACAAAAGCAGTCCACACTCTTAACTTCTGAGTTCTCTCTCCAGTTCCAGTAGAGCAGATTTTAAAAAATTAATCACATGATTTAATTATAATTTCAGAAAATTCCTATTAATTATTAAGAAAAAAACCTTACTAGTAAACTCCCTTGCTGTACCTTTTATTCCTTGAATCCTGTGTCCTAAAAGCAGAAGTATTTCTTTGCTTCACTTATTACATGTTTTATTTATCATGTTTAGAAGGTGAATATTTGTTACTTCTATTCTTCTTTCTTAAATATTAAGGACATTAAAATTGAAACTTTTGTTATTGTTGTGAAACATTCTATTAACAGGAAAAACAGGAAGAAAGTGAACTGCGATCTCTTCCATCTCCTTCCCCTGCTCACCTGGCTGCTTTAAGTATTGCAGTTGTTGAATTAGCAAAAGAACAAGGAATAACAGATGATGACCTCAGAGTCCGCCAGGACATTGTGGAGGAAATGTCAAAGGTTATAATGACATACTTACCAGGTACAGAACCATTTTACATACTTAATATTAGAGTCACAGAGTTTTCCCTTACTTTCTCTTGAACTAGGGTAAATTTCTTAATGTATATCTTTTTGTTTGGTTGTTTGATTTCTCTCTGTAATAGCCCTGGCTGTCCTGGAATTTACATTAGAGACAAGGCTGGCCTCCAGCTCAGAGATACACCTGCTTCTGCCTCCCAAGAGCCACCACTGCTCAGCTCTTTTTTTGCTTCTTAAACGTAGACAGATTTGAGTGTCTTAGGAATGACCTTTTTTTTTGTACACTAATTTTTTGTTTGTGTGTGTTTGTGAATATGTACGCCCTGGCATGTAAGTGCGGAATCAGAGGACAACTTCTTCCATGTGTGATTTGGGATCCACTTTAGTTCCTCAGGCAGCAAGCATCTTTAGCATCTCACTCTCTAGGAATTGCTTTTATTAAAGTATCCCCTTTTAAGAAAAAAAGAAAATTGTATAATTTTGTAGTATGAGAACAAGATTTTTAAAATGCCAAGCATAGGTAATTTCTTATTGGTCAGGTATATCTTATATTGGTTTATGAGTATCATTTTTGTTTTGTTTTTAGAGATTGAGTTTTATTATAAAAATATTTATATGTGTATGTATGCCATACATATGTCAGGTGCCTGCAGAGGCCAGAAGAAGGTGTTAAGAGCTGGAGTTACAGGTGGTTGTGAGTCTCCTGATGGAGTTGCTGGGAAACTGAAGTGGGATCCACTGTAAGAGCAGCAAATAGTATTAACTGCTGAGCCATCTCTTTAGCCCCTGAGTATCACTGATAAAATTAGTTTATGTAAAGACTTTAGAGAAAATTTAATTTTGGGTTCAAGGTATTATGAATTCAGGTTTATTGCATACATTTACACACGTATAGGATGCTGTCCATCTTTTTTTTTTTTTTTTTTAGTGTTTAGGTAAATGTATCTTAAATAAGACTTAACTTTTTACCATCCAAAGAGATGTTGGAAATTTGAAGTGGAAAAATAGAATTTCATTTCCTATTATTTCTCTCATATTTTTGTACCTGAGTTGAATACTGATTAGAATGGTTGAAAAGTAATTCAGTATTATTGTAAAAACAGGACTTACATTTTTATGATTTTAATGATACTGATAATGTTTAGATATTTTTAAGTTCGAAAAGTATACAACTGAAGCTGAATGTTAATTTTTTAAGAACTGGCCTTACTTGGTCAGTACCAGCTTCACATGTTACTTCTTGCTCTTTGGTGTGATCTTTTGGAAGTACACCTTGTTTTTGAAATAGTCTGAGAAAGATCAGAACAAAGTTTTTCTATGTGTTAAGTTTGCATTATCAGTTAATTTGGAGTCACTTTGTATTTTGAAAAAGCATATGAAAAAAAAGAAAAAGCATATGTACTGAATGATCTTTTTTTTAAAAGTTGATTCTTACATAAGCTTCTAAAATAATACATTTTGTGACAATAGCATTGCTAGATGAGTACATTTGCTAAATAGTCTTAGATTGGTTTCTAAATGAACTGTTTGAATTTGAACACTGAACTTTTCTAGTGGTTTTTTTTTTCTTTCTTTGTTCTTGTACCCATAATTTTTGTACCCATAATACCCATTCAGTTAGAAAGGATGTCAATTTTGTGAAAATTATTATGCTAGAATTATGTGATTGAAGTAATGTATAGTTTTCCTGAATTTTTTTATTTATTTGTTTTGATGTATGTGTGTGGGGCCAGAGTGAGTTTATGTGTAGTATGTATATGTGAATGCCTGATAGGTTGGAAGAGGCTACTAGATACGCCAGAACAGATACAGATGGTTATGAGCTGCCATTTAGGTACTGGAAACTGGTATTCTGCAAGAACAGCAAGTGCTCTTAACTACTGAGTCATCTTTCTAGTTTCCCCATTAAAACAAAAAATACTCATATTTGCAGTTTCATGCTTTTGTGATTTTCCTTTATTCCAGAATGTTCACTGAGGTTGTATGGTTCATCTCTGACAAAGTTTGCCCTGAAAAGCAGTGATGTTAATATAGATATAAAATTTCCTCCCAAGGTAAGTAATTAAAAAAGAACCTTCTCTCTATGGTACTTAACTAGTACTTGATAATTTTAATGGGTTACCTTTTAGAACGTGGTAGGAGGAAAGAAACCTTTGGCTTATTGAGTATTACCATGAAGACTAAACAGTGTTTTAATTTAAAAGTTAATCTTACATTTCAAATAGGGAGGGTAAAAATATGCAGGTGGGAGAGAAAAGCCAACAGAGGAAAGTAATAAAAGGGAAAAGTGCATATATTTGAGCTTCTTGACTAGTTACTACTTCTGGTAAGCAGTATTGAAAAGTGGAAATTTTCAATACTGCTGAATTAAAACTTGACCGGAAGTTTGAACATTGTTTTTCTCAATTTCGAAATGACTAATAAATTTTTTGTTGTTTTTGGTTATTTGAGACAAGATTTCCCCATTTATCCTGGGCTGGAACTCAGCGTATAGTCCAGGCTGTCCTTGAACTTGGGGCAATTCTCATGCTTCTGCCTCTTGAATGCTGCAGTTAAAGACATGCACCACCACATTGGGCCATAATATGATGTTTCTAAGAGCCTGGGCCACATGCTACTATTAGAGTATTTCATCTCTAGCTTCCAGATGAGGGATAATGTTTGTTTTTGAGGCATGGTCTCACTATGTAGCCCAAGTTGGTCCTGGATTCTTTGTGTAGATTAGGTTGGCCATAAACTCAGAGAGATCCTTTGCTTCTGTCTGCCAAGTGCTGGGATTAAAAATGCTCCATCACACCTGGCCCAGTTTTTATGTTAAATGAGATGAACATGTACATACAGCCTGGTAAAATGATAAGAACTATTAGTGAGGTACTGTTATTAGCAACAATGTCAATATTTGGCATTAACATTGCTAATTTTTATCAAATCAGATATTTAAAACTGTCAGTCAAGATCTGGCAAGATGTCTCAGTGGGTAAAAAGCACATACCAAGCAAGCCTGGTGATCCAAGTTCAAGCCTTGGAACCCACATCAAATTGAAAAGAGAACTGATTCTACCTATTTTCTTCTGGCCTTATATGTGGTCTGTGGCATTCACTCCACCCTGTCACAAACAGTAATACAATATTTTAAAAGTTACCAGTCAAAATTTCCTGCTTGTCTTAGGGTTTCTGTTGCTGTGATAAAACACCATGACCTAAAGCAACTTGGGAAGGAAATGGTTTATTTCATTTTAACAGCTTGTAGTCCATCATCAATGGAAATCATGGCAGGAACTCAAGGCAGGCAGGAACTGAAGCAAAGGCCATGAAGGGAGTGCTGTTTAATGGCTTACACCTTGTGGCTTGCTCTGCCTACTTTCTTCTTATAGTACATATCCAGGACCACCAGCCCAGGGGTGCCACCATATCAGTTAAGTTGGAGAGGGGAGAAAGCCCCACAGGCTTTGACTACAGGCCAGTCTAGTGATAATATTTTCTTTCTTTTCTTTTCTTTTCTTTTTTGGTTTTTTGAGACAAGGTTTCTCTGTGTAGTCTTGGCTGTCCTGGAACTCTGTAGACCAGGCTGGCCTTGAACTCAACAGAGATCCCCCTGCCTCTGCCTCTCGAGTACTGTGGGATTAAAAGTTTGTGCCACCACCGCCCAGCTGATATATTTCTAAGGTTCCCTCTTCCCAAATTATGAGCTTATGTCAAGTTGGCATAAAACTAGCCAGAACAATGTTTAAAGTTTTTTTTCTTTTAAATACTTTTCTTTTTTTGTTTTTGTTTTTACTCAAAGATATTTGATTTGAGTGAAAGTTTGTCATTTAAATTTCTAGTCTATGTAATAGTCATTTGGTAAACTTGTTTCTATTTTTCTCTAATAGTAAATAGTTCTGCATTTGCTATATTCTACTTCTCTGAACAAGATTTGTTGACAAAGTAAAAAATACTACTCTGATTATATTATTTTAAAATATAGAGCATGATTTTTGTTTAAATGTTACTATTTAATCAAATTGAGTTCTCACTAATGCCCTGCTAATTGTTCTTTGTTTCAATGAAACTTTTTAGATGAATCATCCAGATCTTCTGATACAAGTGCTTGGAATTTTGAAAAAAAGTCGTAAGTTCCTTGCTTTTCTTCTTTTATAAAAAGTTTTCTAAAAGTATTTGCACTGTGTTGCTTCCATATGGCTAACCATGTTATAATTGCTACAGTATATGAATGTATGTATATATACATATCCATGTGTGTTCATTTAGTAGATGTACCTGGAAATGTAACCTGTTGATTAAGTCAGATATACTGTATCAAAGTTGATAATTACAAAGTGTTATAGTATTTGGATAATTAGAAAATAGCTTTCAATACAATAATCTCTCCTTATCTGCAGGATTTACTTTTGTATATGTTTATTTCTGTGCTGGGGAGATGGAACCCAGGGCTTTGCACTACACTAATGTTCTGTCAGTGAGCTACAGTCCAGTCACTATCCTAGTTTTGCTTTCTGTGGTTTCAGTTAACCTGAATTCAACTACAATCTGAAAATCAGGTAGAACGTTCTATAAACAAGGAATTCCTCAGTTAAAAAAAAAAAAACGACTTATTTTATGTGTGTGGTGTTTTACCTGCATGTATACGTGTACACCATGTGTGTGCCTTGTGCCTGCAGAGGTCAGAAGAGAGTGTCTGATCCCCTGGAACTAGAGTTAAGGATGGATGTGAGCCAGTATGTGGATGTTGTGAACTGAACCCAGGTCCTTGTTAAGAACAAGTGCTCTTAACCACTCAGCTATCTCTCTAGCCCTTCCGTATTCCAGTCTTAGTGGCTCCATCAATTTATCTTTTAGTAGCTGTCTAGTTACCAAGTTATTACATTTCCTACAGTATCATGTACAGAAGAAGGTCCATATTCATATAACTGATTATGTTGTAATTTCTCTGTTCTATTTAGTATTCCTGCTAATCTTTTACAATGCCTAATTTATTTATTAAACTTTTTCAAATGCATGTATGATTAAGAAAAAATGAGTATTTACAGTGTTTGATACAACTTCAGGTTGCAGATATTTACTGGTGTTTTAGAAAGTATTTCTTTTAGTTAAAAGGGAACAACTATGTTATGAGCATTTCATGTGTAAATGAAGATAAATAGTCTTCATCTTATTGAAAAGTCACTCATGAAGGAAAATTAGGGAGAGATGCAGAATAAAGATTCGGTTATGCATTGTGTATACACACTCTGTTTCCACTTGATTTGTTTGTTCTTTTTGTTTGTTTGTTTTGTTCTTGTTGTTGGTTTTTCAAGACAGGCTTTCTCTTTGTAGCCCTAGCTGTCCTGGAACTTGCTTTGTAGACCAGACTGGCCTCGAACTCACAGAGATACACCTGCCACTGTCCCCTGCATGCTGGGATTAAAGATATGTGCCACTAATCCTGGCTATGTTCTTTACATTTGAAACAATAGTCCACCTGAATTTGTGATAGTAGCCTAATGTAATCATTTATGTTACATCAGCTGAGTCATACCAAGTAGCTTTTCCATGTTACTTGTCTGGAATGCTTTTGTAAGAAAGGATATTTACATAGATAAAAATAAAAAGAGTATGGTGTTTCAAATCAACCCCCAGTACATATATTTAAAGACTGGTAAACTAGCTGGCTCATTCTTCTCTGCCTGCCTTTTTTTTTGTTATAATTATTTAGGGGTGTGTATGTGCGTGGCATTTGTGACATTTTTGGTGTACATGATAGTTGTTCTTTCCTTACCATGTAGGTTTCTGGAATTGAACTCAGGTTGTCAGGCTTGGAAGCACGGGCCTTTGTTAGCTGAGTTATCTTATTAGTTCATTATTTATGAACTTCTTGTTGACGTTGTTGTACTGGGAAATTAGTTTATAAGGAATGATGTAGGAATATTTTAGTAGAGTTGCTTTTGTTAATAAATACTTGTTTCTAATTACATAAAAACTTTAAAACATTATAGGTAAACATACAAGGTAGGCATAATGGCTTTGACCTCTTAAGAGTTATTGAGAAGTGTCAGCCCATTATAAATATATATTCACATGAGAGATCATCTTAAGTCATAAAATGTAGGTTTAAAAATTTTTTTTTTCTGAGACAGGGTTTCTCTGTGTAGCTTTGGAGCCTGTCCTGGAACTCACTTTGTAGACCAGTCTGGCCTTGAACTCACCTGGCTCTGCCTCCCAAGAGCTGGGATTAAGGCATGCGCCACCACCACTGCTAAAATTAAATTTTACTTAATGTCGTCATCTTATCCTCTAGAAATCTGTCATCTACAAGATCTGTTTTCATATTTGCATTCCAAACCCCTCATTGAGCTTTTTGTGTCTTAAGTTACTGCCATATTCACTGTGTGTAATGGTATTTCTGACATAATGGGTTTCCAGTACATAATTCTAAATTATTAATCATCCCATCAAATACTACTAGAGATTTTCATTGAGGTTTTTTTCCCCCCAAATGAAAGGTCAATCCATTTATCTTTACTTAAAGTATTTTATTTATTTATTTGTTTGTTTGTTTACTTTTTGGTTTTTCAAGACAAAGTTTCTCTGTACACAGAGAAATGAATACAGGTTTTGGTACCTGTCCTGGATCTGCCTTCCTCTGCCTCCCAAGTGCTGGGATTAAGGGCGTGCACCACAACCGCCCCGCCTATTTTTAATTTTTAAGTTAAATTTGTATTATATACCTGTGAATGTTTGTGGGTGGGTAGGTGCTTGCATGCATTTGGAAGTCAGAGGACAACTTGTAGGAATTGGTTCTCTTCTTCCATCACAAGGGTGCTGGGGACTGAACTTTTCCTCTGGGGCCATCTCCCCATACCCTGAAATGATATTTATGACTTGAGATCTACTTTAGTGATAGACTATGTCCCATCTCACCCCCCCCCCCCCCCCCCCCCCC